GGGATGGATATTGTAATTCGACTTTTATTACCAGACTCACTTTCTTTACGGAGCTAAAAACACAATCCTGATTTTCTTCCTACGTCACTGACCACTTTTTCTCAGTCTCCTTTGCTGATTCCTTCTCCTTTCCCAATTTTTTGATGGGAAAGGAGGGTTGCCAGCACTTAGTCTGGACTTCTTCTCTTCTCTCTTCACTAACATCCTAGTCTCATCCAGTCCTGGTGTGGTTTTAATACCATCTATATACTGATGATTTCCAAAAGTATTAGCTTTGTCAATTTATCAAGAAGATATGAAATTATAAACATATATGCACAAGGACCAGGCATGGTGGCTCACACCTTAACCCAGCATTTTGGGAGCCAAGGTGGGAGAACAGCTTGAGGCCAGGAGTTTGAGGCCAGCCTGGGAAACATACAAGACCGCATCTCTACAAAAATTAAAAAATTAGTTGGCATGGTGGCGTATCCCTGTAGCTCCAGCTACTTGGGAGGCTGAAGAGGATTGTTAAGCCCAGGAGTTAGGCTACAGTGAGCTCTGATTGCACACTGCATTTCAGACTGGGTGGTAGAGAGAACTTGTCTCTAAAGTAAAAAACAAACAACCAAAAAAAAAAAAAATGCAAAATGAAATCATATAATACTAGAAGAAATCTTCAGTAGATTTTGTGATAATATTCAATAGGAGAAGGTCTTTCTAAACAAAAGACGAAAAACAGAAATCATAGAGAAAAGACCGACAAATTTGACTACATGAAAATTAAAACCTCTGCATGGCTATATACACACACGTACATACATATGTACATACGTACATATATATGTATATGTATGTATCAAAGCCAAAAGGACTAACTGGGGAAAATATTCACAGTCTATATAAAAGATAAAAGATAACTCAATAGAAAAAATTGGGATAACATGAGACATAGGCGTGGTCTATTGAACTAAGGAGTTCAAGACCAGCCTGAGCAAGAGCAAGACACTGTCTCTATAAAAAATAGAAAAATTAGCTGCTTGTCATGGTGCATGCCTATAGTCCCAGCTACTTGGGAGGCTGAGGCAGAAGGATCACTTAAGTCCAGGAGTTTGAGGTTGCTGTGAGCTACAATGATGCCAGAGCACTCTTCCCAGGGCAATAGAGCAAGACTCTGTCTCAAAAAAAAAAAAAATAAATAAATAAATAAATAAAAAGAATGACTCCAAGATTTGGGTCCTAACAACTGGAAGATGCCATTTGTTGAGATGGTAAAGAGAGGGAATGGAGCACATTTCAAGGAGAGAGATTTTTTAAAATCCTTGAGCTGTCTGTGATACATTCTAACAAAGATATTAATTGGAGTATGGAATTCAAGAGAGAAGTTGCAACAAGAGCTATATATTTGTATGTTGTGCTTTTTTTCCCACTTGTTTCAAAGTATTTTCCCATTTCTTCATCATTTCTTCTTTGACCCACTAGTTGTTTAAGAGTGTGTTGTTTAATTTCCACATATTTGTGAATTTTACAGTTTTCCTTCTCTTGATGGCTTCTTGTTTCATTCATTACAGAAAAGATACTTTATGTGATTTCAATCTTTTAAATTTTTTGAGACCTATTTTATGGCCTAATGTATGATTTTTCCTGGAGAATGCTCCATGTGCACTTGAGAAGAATGTGTGTTGTAGTTATTGGATGGAGTATTCTAATTATGTCTCTCAGGTCTAGTTGATTTATAGTGTTGTTCAAATCCTCTATTTACTCATTGATTTTTTTTTTTAATCTAGATGTTCTATCCAGTATTGAAAGTGAGGTATTGAAGTCTGCAACTATTATTATAGAGCTGTCTCTTTCTCTCTGTAATTCTATCAGTGTTTGCTTCATAGATTTGGCAACTCTTGAACTCTTGGCCTCAAGTGATCCTCCCGCCTCAGCCACCCAAAGTGTTGGGATTATAGGCATGCGCCACCATGCCTGGCCTCATTTTGCATTTAAATCTCTGTTCTATCTGGAATTTATTTTAGTATATGAAGGTAAGGGTGCAGCTTTATTTTTTCCCCAAAAGACAGATGTCCCAAGTGACATTTATTGAATAATCCACATTTTCCCCACTGATTGGAAATGTCACTTTTATCACATGTCAAATTCCCATATGTATTTGGGTCTATTTCTGACTTTCTTGTCTGTTTCTTATCTGTCTGTTCCTGCACCATTACAACACATATTGTACTTTTATAATACATTTAAAAATCTGTTAGCATTAGTTCACCCTCATTTTTTTGTTGTTGTTCCAGAGCTTTCCTGGCCAGGAAAGCTCTTTTTTAAAAAAACAGCTGTATTGAGATGTCATTCATACTCTTTAAAATTAGCCCATTTAAAATGTACAGTTCAAGAGTATATTCACAGAGATGTGCAACCATTACCACAGTCAATTTTAGAACATTTTTGTCACCTCAGAAAGAAACCTGTACACTTTAGCCATCTCCTCTCTCCCCACCTCTCCCAGCCCTCAGCAACCACTAATCTACTTTCTGTCTCTATAGCTTTGCCTATTCTTGACATTTCACATAAATAGAATCATATAACACGTGGTCTTTTGTGACTGGTTTATTTTACTTAGTATACCATTTTCACGGTTCATCCATGTTGTGGCATATATCAGTACTCCATTACTTTTTATGGCCAAGTAATATTCCATTGTATGAATTGCCACGTTGTTTATCTATTCATCTGTTGAACATTTGGGTTATTTCCGCCTTTTGGCTATTATGAGTAGTGTTGCTATGAACATTCACTACAAGTTTTTGTTTGAACAACTATTTCCAGTTCTTTTGGGTCTATACCTAGGAGTGGAATTGCTAGGTATTTGGTAATTTTGTTTAACTTATTGAGAAATTTTCAAATTGTTTTCTACAGCAACTGCATCATTTTATATTTCTACCAGCAATGTGTGAGGTTTCTAATTTCTCTATATCTTCTCCAAGACTTATTATGTCTGTCTTTGTTTGTTTTAATTTTAACCATCTTAGTGAGGGTGAAATGGTATCTCATCGTGGCTTAATTTGTATTTCCCTGATGACTAATGATGGTGAGAATCTTTTTGTGTACTTACTGTCATTCCTGTATCTTCTTTGGAGAAATGTGTATTCATGTCCTTTGCCCGTTTTTAAAATTGGGTCATTTATCTTTTTATTATTGAGTAGTAAATGTTCTTTCTATATTTTCCTGATCATTCTTGCATGTTATTTTTTTTTAAGTTGAAAAATGGATGGCTAGCATCTTCCATGTAGCTTGAGAGCAAAAATCACTTAACTCCAGTGAGAATGGCTTTTATCAAAAAGTCCCCAAATAACAAATGTTGGCATGCATGCAGACAGATAGGAACACTCATACACTGCTGGTGGGACTGCAAACTAGTACAACATCTATGGAAAGTAGTATGGAGATACCCAAAAGAGCTAAAAGTAGAACTACCATTTGATCCAGAATCCCACTACTGAGTATTTCCCCAAAGGAAAAAAAAAAAGACATCCTATAGGAAGATATCTGCACTTTGACGTTTATAGCAGCACAATTCACAATTGCAAAGATGTGGAAACAACCCAAGTGCCCATCAATACATGAGAGGATGAATAAAATGTGGTATATGTATACAATGGAGCACTACTCAGCCATAAAAAATAGCAAACTACCTCTTGTATTGTCCTGGATGGAGCTGGAGCCCATTCTTCTAAGTATCACAAGAATGGAGAAACAAACACCACATGTACTCACTATTAAATTGGTACTAATTGATCAACACTTACGCGCACATATGGAAGTATCATCCATCAGGTGTTGGGCACGTGGGAGGGGAGGGGATGGGTCAATTCACACCTAATGGGTGCAGTGCATGCTTTCTGGGGGATGGGCACACTTGTAACTCTGACTTTGAAGGTGCAAAGGCAATTTAAGTAAACAAAGCACTTGTACCCCTGTAATAGTCTGAAATAAAAATAAAATAAAAAATAAAAAAGCCAAATTCTATGAATATCAGAATTAAAAAAAAAAAGCAAAAAACAAACATTCAGCTTGAATCTAGCCTAACAGATTCTACAGATGAAAATTTCCCCCAGACATCTCCTCCTCAAATACCCTGCAAAGATTTGGGCGTTCACATGTATTGTGAAGTTGATTTAAACTCACTTGCGTACACGAAGCAGACATGGATTCTAGCATAGCGCTTTCCTGAAGGCTTGTGTGTGCATGGGGGTTGTTCCTTACTCTCTGGTCTAACTGACTGTGGTGCAATGTTGACTCGGACATCAAGGCTGGAGAAGCCCTTTCCAAGATCAGCATCCCAAGCTGGCCCGAGGTGATTATTGCAACTTTCCAGGGGTTCCCATCCCCTCCTGGGTTCAGAGCCGAACCCAAACTACACTCACAGCCTGACTCACAGCTGGGGACTGGAGCAAATGCTGAGCTTCATTAGGGAAGAGTGTGATTTCCCGAATGCTTTAGTCCTTGGGGGGTGTCTGAAAGGGAATCAAGCATTCCTTATGCCAGTTGTTTAATCCTTGGGGTATCCGAAGGAGAAGCAAGCACTTCTTAGATCAATATTTTCAAGGCTCATCTGATGCAAGCCTCTGCCTGGGGCTGGAGGATAAACTGTTTCTCCAGCTTCTCTCTCTCCAGGGGGGGGGATATGAACTTGAGCCCTTGTAATGAACTGCTTGCATTTTTTTTCCCCCTGAGAAATTTGTGAATATGTGTGATTGTGATGGGAGAAGGGGGTAGAGATAGTTTCAAAACTGGACACCTGCAGTGCTTGTTCCTTTACGACTGAGTTTCCCAGCCTCTTTTTCATTATCACCCCCAGGAGTATTTTGAGATATTCCCCCTCCTCATAATTCTTTCCCCATGAAATTTTAATACTACAGCTACAATGTATTTACATACTATTTACGTAGTGTATGTATGCCTGTGCTTTATACATTAAGAAAAACAAGCTTCTTTTTGCCCCCTTGGGGACCATATGGGCCCCATCACAAGTAGCCCCCTTGGCAGCCTCCACCACATCAAATGGAGAGGAAGGCAGCCTAGCAGGGGCTAGACTGTGAACTAACAAGTGCTTAGCGAAGTGCCATAAACAAGAGCCCTTGGCCGGGCGGGGTGGCTCACGCCTGTAATCCTAGCACTCTGGGAGGCCCAGGCTGGAGGATCACTCAAGGTCAGGAGTTCCAGACCAGCCTGAGCAAGCGTGAGACCCCCGTCTCTACTGAAAATATAAAGAAATTAATTGGCCAACTAAAAATATATAGAAAATTAGTGGGGGCATGTGTGCGCACACCTGTATCCCAGCTACTCGGGGAGGTGAGGCAGTAGGATTGCTTGAGCCCAGGAGTTTGAGGTTGCTGTGAGCTCGGCTGACGCACGCACTCTAGCCCTGGGCAACAGAGTGAGACTCTCTCTCAGGAAAAAAAAAAACAAACAAAAGAGTCCTGTTGTCATTATTATGATTTCGAGCCCGTCGCAGTGATGTTTACTACCCTCTCTCAGGCTGCAGGTTCCACGGTTCCCGAGGGCTGGTCAGAGGAGGAAGTCCTTCCCAGTCTGGGGCTCCACCAGGGGCCGTGGGGCACATTGGGCGTGCACCGGTGTGACTGTGGAGCCTGGACAGCCCTCAGCCTCCTAGCGTCAGAACTTCTGATTTTTCAGGAAAATCCAGGAATGCGGATTTTTTGGTTAAATCTCCCACATTTGAAGCATTGGCTCAACGTCACACAACGCTACAGGGACCCAACAAAAGAGATGACAGCAAGATACACCGACTTGTCCCAGTTCGTAGCGTAGCTGAGATTCCGACGTGAGTCCTCCACAAGCCCGGCCTGCTCTTCGCTAACCCAGGCCCACCCTTCCCCTCACGACCCCGCACCGCTCGCCCTTTAGGGAGCCCGTCGGTGCCTCTCCCTGCTCTTCCCTCCGGCCGGGCCGCGGGATTGGACAACGCCCAGCTCCCCTTCCCATCCGCCACGCCCTTCCCAGCAGGACCTGGACTGCGTGCACAGACGCGGTCGCCTCCTCCGGGCCACACTGAGCCTCGACCCGGCCTGGGGGCGCGGGCCCGGAGGACTGGTCGGTGCGCGTCTGGGCGGCGACCGGAGATCGCGGCCCGGGAGCGCGGGCAGGCGGGCCGGCCGGGCGGCCGGGCGGCGGTCTCTCCGGCCTCTCCCGCGCCGCCCAGGCTCTCCGGGTGAAACGAGCGCTGTTCGGCCGCCTGACCCGCCGCCCTGGCCATTGTTTTCTGTTCGCCCGGGTCGCGGGTGGGAGGCGAGGAACGCGGGGCCCTGGTGCCTGGCTGCCCTCCAGGCCTTTGACCCTGGGGACACCCGGGCGGCCGCGCCTCCGGGGCGGGACGAGAGGACCGGCGGCCGTGGCCATGGGCTCGCGCGGCTCCCGCGCCGCGGTCATCCCCGACGTGGACAGCATCCGGCGGGAGACGGGCTGTGAGTGCGCCGGCCGGGGGGCGGGGGGCGCGGGCGACCGCAGGTGCCGGGCGCCGGGGACCGCAAGAGGTTCAACGCCGCGCCGGGTCCGGAGCAGGGGCTGGATCGAGGGGGTCCGGGATCCTGGAGCTGGGAGACCAAGACCCAAGAGTCGGGGACCGCAGGGCTAGGGGCGCGTTCACCTGGGGGCTTGAGGACTGTCCGAGTTCACCGGGCTGGGGGCCAGATCAGTCCAGGAACCCGGTGCCCTCGAGTCCCGATCGAGGCTGAAGGCAGAGTTGACGGCGAGGGGAGGGTTGACCTTGGTCCCTCGTTTCCGGGAGGGAAGCGCTAGGACGCTTGCTAGCCTCCCGGTCTCGAACTTGGCGCTTGGCGGGGTCGCACATCACCCCCGCTCCAGCCCCGCCTCCCCGGGTCCCAGGGGCGAACGTTCCCTCCAGCAAACCTCCCTCCCCCATCTGTCCCCCGCGGGTCTCTGGGCCGTGCGGAGCGGGTTCCAGAGCGCGCATCTTGTCACCCTTGCGCCCTCCCCCGCAGTCTCGCAGGCCTGTCTGCTCCGCCTGTACCACCGGTTCCGGGCACTGGACAGGAACAAGAAGGGCTACCTGAGGTGAGCGGGAGTCTTGCCTCTGTCCCTCAGACCCCATTTCCCTGTTTGACCCCCGCCTCGGCCTGCCATCTTTGCCCTACCCCCTTTGAACTTGACTTTGCAGCCGCATGGATCTCCAGCAGATTGGGGCGCTGGCCGTGAACCCCCTGGGAGACCGCATTATAGACAGCTTCTTCCCGGACGGGTGAGGTCCTGCTGTGCGGGGGGGGGGGGGCAGCGGAAGCGGAAAAACCTGCCAGCAGGTGAGTGGGAGGGAAGGTTAGAGACCGAGGCAGAGGGATGGCTAAGGTGACCGCGGCCTCCCTCTGTTCCGTGCCCCAGGAGTCTGCGAGTGGATTTCTCAGGCTTTGTCAGGGTCCTGGCTCATTTTCGACCTATAGAAGAGGAGGACACAGGGATGCGAGACCCCAAGCAACCTGAACCCCTCAACAGCAGAATGAACAAACTTCGCTGTGAGTTTGCAGAGACCCGCCCCAGTGAGACCGCAGGTTTACCCACACCAGAGAGAGGCCCCAGGAATCTCCCACTCCCTTCATGAGCCTCGTGACAACCACCGCACTCCTCCGGGGTGACCTTCTCCTGGAAGAGAACCAGGGAAGACCCACCTGCCTTTCCCCCCTCCGCTCTCTTCCCAGTTGCATTTCAGCTCTATGACCTGGATCGAGATGGGAAGATCTCCAGGCAGGAGATGCTACAGGTTGGACGAACTGCAGCGCAGGAGACGTGACGTTTGAGCGGTGGGAGGGGTGACGGATGGGGGATGCAGATGGTCAGGGTGTGGGGATGGGAAATGGGAATGGGTGGGGTTGGAGCGTGGCTTAGTTGGGAGGTGATGTGGGTAGCAGTTGGGCATGAGGTCGGGAATAGATGAGGAATTCTCAGCTGGGGGTCATTGTGCCCCTTGACTGAAGATTTGGCAATATCTGGAGACACTTTTCCTTGTCACACCTGGTGAGAGAGTGTGCTATTGATATCTAGCGGGTGGAGGTCAGGAATGTCACTATGCATTGTATAAGACATAGGACAGCCTCCCACAACAAGGCATTATCTGGCCCCAAGTGTCGATAGTGCCGAGATTGAGACACTCTGGAGAGGTGATGAAGTGGGGAATTGGGGGTGGAGGCTGGACAGAGTTGGGTTATAAGCTGGGCGGTGAGTCTGGGCATGTTGCTGAGGGAGTGTGGGACAGATGGCAGATCAGACAGTGAGGCAGTGGGAAATTATTGGAGGATATGGGGGGAAATGATTGGAATGGGGTGAAACGTGGATGAAGGATGGATTATGAAATTGGTAGTAGCTTGTGCGGTGAGGTGGGCAAGGTTTTGAGGATGGGAGAGTCGCCGTTGTGTCCCCTCTTTATGGTTGCCTCTTCCCTCACCTCCCAGGTTCTCCGGCTGATGGTTGGGGTACAGGTGACAGAGGAGCAGCTGGAGAGCATCACTGACCGCACGGTGCAGGAGGCCGACGAAGATGGGGACGGGGCTGTGTCCTTCCTGGAGTTCGCCAAGGTCAGGATGTCCCTAGGACAGGGAGGTTGAGATCAGGAGTCCCTGGGACAGATGAACATGGGGAATGATGTTCAAAGGAGAAGAGCAGGGGATGGTGGGGTCTTCAGGATGGGTAGAACCATGGAGGAGGAGGTGGAGGCATAGAGGATTGGGATTCATGCCTCTTGACTAGCACCCATTTTCTCCGCCAGTCCTTGGAGAAGATGAACATCGAGCAAAAAATGAGCATCCGGATCTTGAAGTGACTGATTATGTGCCTTCGACTAGCTCAGGCAGACCAGTATCTACCTGGGATTCACCCTCAGCCCCCGCGGACACAGGGCCCCAATAAACTGTATTCTTACTTCTAAACTGAACTCTATTTAGGGCCAAGGAAAGAAAGCTGGAAGGGTGTGTACTAAAGTCCAGCTCGTTTGATCTCAGATCTGTGAATCAGCCAGCAAGCTTTTGGTTGCGAATGACTAAAAACCCAACTCAATGTGACTTAAGTAAAAAAGGGATTTTATAATATGAGCTCATGTAATTAAAAAGCCTGGAAGTATCTGTCTTCAGGTGCAGCTGGGCCCAAGGGTGCAAATCATGTTCTCAAGAGTCAGTTATTCGCCATCTCTCAACTTGGCTTTCTTCTATGTTAGATTCATTCTCAAGAAGGCTCTTTCCTCGAGGTGGGGAATGGCCGCCAGCAGCTCCAGGCTTCCATCCTGCTAGCATCGTAATCTGGTGGGAAGAGATTTTCTTATTCCAGTAATCCCAAGCAAAGAGTATCATTGGCTGGGTCTGGGGGCCTGTCCCCATTTCCGGGGGAATGGAACACTCTCATGGACTGGGCCTGTGTCATGTGCTGATTCCTAGAGCTAGGAAATAAAGTCTGAGGACAAAGGCTGGTGTGAGAAGTGGTTGCTTAAAGGAAAATGAGGTACTGTTACCAGAAGAAGAGGGAACAATGGCTCTGGCAGAACAAGAGATGTCCATTAGTGTTTGGTTGACCAAATGGAGGGGCCCTTGAAGTCTGGTCGCTAAAAGGGGTTTTCATTGATCCCACGGGTGCAGGCCAGTGTGATGGGGGTTGGTGGAGTGGGGCAGAGATGATGTGAAAATGACCAACAATCCGTACCTTTCTAGAGTGTGAAATTATTCAAAGCTTTGGAGAGTAATCTTGTTTTCATGATAAGATGTTCAAACATGGATATATCACAGAAGAGAGTGTAAAAAAATCACAAAAACCCATGAGATTCTGTGTCTGTAGCAGAGAGCTCTGGCCATGCCTGCAAGAGATGCTGTCAGCACCCTGCTTTATTTCAGTGGGGGCCCTTGGCCTCATCTGTAAGCCTGGACTCTGGCCTGTGTCAGTCTGTGTTCTTTTAGTTATTAACTGGCTTATGAAATAATAGGAATTTATTGGTTCATATCATTGGAAGAAGAGTCCAAAGGTAGACCAGGCAAAGGTGTGTCCCAAAGGCTCAATAATATCATCAGAAATTAGTCTTATCATTTCTCAACTCTGCTGTCCTCTGCATTGCTTTCCTTTGTTAAGCAGCAACCCCAATTAAAAGAGAGCCTCTCTTTCCCGACAGTGCTGTTCGAAGTCCCAGAAATAAATCTTACTGGCCCATCCATGGTAGCCAGGTAAATGCAACAACTTCTCTGGTCATATGCTCGCCCCAGAACTAGAGATTACAGTCAACCCCTCTTGAACCAAATGCAATGTGTGTGTGTGTATGTGTTGATTCCCTAAAGGAATATCAGAATGTTGTTACCAAAAGAAGGGGGCTGCATGCTGGACAGGCAAAAATCAACAGATAACTCTACACTGGTTAATTTGGTTTTGGCTACAAATTACAGAATTATCAGCTAACAGTGGCTTAGACAATTGAGACAATCGTCTTACACTATAAGATGTCTCTGGTGGTAGGAAGTCCTGGAGTTATTGAGTAGCTTAACAGTATTATTGAGAATTCAAGATCTTTTATCCTTCTATCCCTTGATATATTGGCGTTTAACTCTCAGGTTTGTTGACTTGTGGTTATGAGATGGCTGCGGTAGCTCCAGCCATCACATGTCTCCACAGGAGCAGTGTCCCGAGAGACAGGAAGTACAAGGGGCCAGACTCTTAAAGCCTAGGAAACTGGCATGACGTCACCTCCACCACAGTGGTCCAGAGCCCCCAGAGGAGGCGATGCAGACTCCATCTCTGGATGGGAGGAGTATTGAGGAATTCATGGTCATCTTTAATCTTCCACATGTGGACATAGGCAGGGATGCATAATCTTTTTGCAGGGAAGGGAAGTAGATATTTTAGGAAATGAGTAAGATGGGCCTTACCTTACCAGTTAACATTTATCATGAAACCAAAATAAAATGCTTGGTTTGGGATGCCTATAAATTCAATTGATTTTGCTTGTACATATGCAAGCACTGAACAAATAGATGTAAAAATGTTTTATGTCTATGAATAAAGTACCTAATAAAGTATTACATTATGTAAAAAATAAAATAAATTGTTGGGATATTGCTACAGATGGCTTAATGGAACAAAAAAGAAGGTACATATGTAGATATATACATATGTATGTCTAATAGTATAATTTAAATATTAGTCCTCCAAATTGCCTCATAAAATGAAATACAAATAGTTTAGAAAAATGGTATAATATACACGATTATTGATGTGATCTTGAGATGAAGAGGATTTTCTAAGAAGAATCATCATGGAAAATATTAATAGTGTTAACTTTATAAAAATAAATTGTATTTTTATAGATTGCAACTTTATAAAAATTTAATTTATAAAAAAAATTGAAAGACAAAGAACACATGGGAGAATTATTTGCATTCTGCATATCAGACAGGGGATTATAATCTTTTATATATGTATAGCTCTGCCAGCTAGAAACAGATGAACATAATATAGACAACGATAGGAACAAAAACATTTTAAAAAGAAATATAAATGTCCAAAGGCATATAAAAATGTTCAATCTCAGTGTTGATTAAAATCTTATTAAAACCATGACTCTCTTGAGGATCAGTCTAATTTTATACATCAAAAGCCCTGAACCTGAGTAAGGGCAAGACCCCATCTCTATAAAAAACAGAAAAATTAGCCAGATGTGGTGGTCCTCGCCTCTAGTCCCAGCTACACGGGAGCCTGGGCAACATAGAAAGACTTATATCAATACCAAAATTTTAAAAATTAGCTCAGTGTGGTGGCATGTGCCTGTAGTCCCAGCTACTTGGGAGGCTGAGGCAGGAGGATTGCTTGAGCCCAGGAGTTCAAGGACGAAGTGAGCTATGATCACACCACTGCACTCCAGCCTGGGCAACAGAGTGAGGAAAAAAAAGAAAGTCAAATATGACATGACAGCTCTGGTAGGGGGCCAGACTCCTTCCACATTGTGGCTCTGCCCTTATGAGGGAGCGTCTCTCCTTTGTGTGGTGCGCTGTATTGGGAAGAGAGGAATGGGGATAGGGAGGGCACGCACCCTCCACTGAAGCACAGCACTTGGAAGGTGTGTACGTCACTTCCCCTCACATCCCATTGGCCAGAACTTGAGCTGTAAAAGAGGCTGGGGAACGTAGTCTTTTCTAAAAGTTCTATTGTTTAGGAAGTGGAGAATGGATCTGGGGGACAACCAGGAGGGACTACCACAATGTGTTTAAAAACTCAGCTTCCCAGGAGGTTGCTTCTGCTAGTCATCAGTGTCTGGAAGCTGCTTGGACTTATTTTGATCATTGTAATGATTATATTATTTTAGAAATGATCTCTTTTTTTTTTTTTTTGAGACAGAGTCTTTCTTGTTCCCCAGGCTAAGTGAAGTAGCGTGGAGTTCAGCGCTAAAGCCACAGCAAACCCTCAAACTCCTGCTCAAGCATCTCCTGCCCTCAGCCTCCCGAGTACTGGGACTAGAGGCAATGCGCCGACCATGCCCGGCTATTTCTTCCTCTATATATTATTGGCCAATTCAACTGTATTTCTATTTATAGAGTGAGACGGGTCCTTCGCTCTTGCTCAGGGTGTTATCGAACTCCTGAACCTGAGCATATGCCGCACCGCCTCGGCTCCAAGAGCTGGCAAGATAAGCGGGAGCCGGCCCGGCCCCTAAATGATCTTCTTTTTGATCGGACACTGACAAACATGAGTGTAGAGAGTATCTATAAGGGAGGAATCTATATTCTGCATTGTGCACAGGAAAATGCATCGATAATATAACATTAGAACAGAGATGACAATGAATTTATATAACAGATAGGATAGTATTAGATTTTAAACTTCTTTTTAGTCCAGCACCAGATATCTATAGCTATTATTGCAACTCTAAATGACATCATTACCCCATACTTAAAATGATGTTTTATTAAACGAAATTATAACTAAATGGCATCGATAGTAACTGCTACTTCTATTGAGCTAGCCCAACATTACCATCTGTAATTATTACAATAACTTCTGAGATTACAATACTTTTTTTTTTTATTTTTTGAGACGAGTCTCTCTTTTTTCCCAGGCTAGAGTGAGTGCCTGCCGTCACAGCCTACAGCACCCTCAAACTCTGGGCTTCGAAGTGACTCCTTCTGCCTCCAGCCCTCCGGGTAGCTTGACAGCATGCGCCACATGCCCGGCTTATTTTATTTTTTTTATATTAATTCAGTTTTTGCCAATTAATTTCCTTCTATTAATAGTAGAGACGGTCCCCGCTCTTGCTCGCTGGTTTTGACTCTGACTGAGCAATCGCGCTGCCTCGCCTCGCCAGACTTAGGATACAGGCGTGACCACAGCCGCCCGCTAAATAGTTTAATTAACTCGCATTATGGAGGGTGAAATAAATATTCTTTTCAAATGCCAGCCGAGATAAAGTGCTTGCTCTACCATGTAATTCGTTGAGAAAATCGCTGGTTTTCAGGGACAAGACCGGACGAGGAAAGAGGACACCATACCAGAAGGGGAGATGAGATTGGATGAGGAAGAGGAGACCAGACCAGACCAGGACGAGAACAAAGACAGACAGGAAGAGGAGAGAGACCGAGATGAAGGAACGAGAGAGCCCCATACCTGGAGAGGGAGACCGAGAGAGGAAGAGGAGAAGGACGCACAACTTAGACTGACAGAGAAGAGAGACCAGACTGGAAGACGGAGACGAGATGGAGAGGAAACGAGACCAGACCAGACGAGAAAGAGAAGACAAGACAGGAAGAGGAAGAAGACCGATAGGGAAGAGAGACCCACGAAAGGAGACCATGAAGAAGAGGAAGAAGACCCAGACTAGACTGGACAAGGAAGAGGAGACCAGACTGGAAGAGGAGACGAGATTGGATGAGGAAGAGGAGACCAGACAGGACAAGGAAGAGGAGACAAAACTGGATGAGAAAGAGGAGACGAGACCAGACAAAACCAGACAAGGAAGAGGAGACCGGACCGGACAGGAAGAGAGTGGTAAGTTCTTAATATGCAACACTTCATTCAGACCTCATGAACCATCCTATAAAACAGGTGTTATTTTTTACCTTGTTTACAGATGAGGAATCTGAGGCTTAGAGAAGTTCTATAATCTGCCCAAGGTAACACCTTAACTCATGAAACTGAGAATCAAAACCATGCCTGAGGCCAGGCACAGTGGCTAATGCTTGTAATCCTAGCTCTCTGGGAGGCCAAGGCACAAGGATTGTTTGAGGTCAGGAGTTCTAGATCAGCCTGAGCAAGAGCGAGACACCGCCTCTACTAAAAATAGAAAGAAATCAGCCAGACAACTAAAAATATATATAGAAAAAATTACCCAGGCATGGTGGCGCATGCCTGTAGTCCCAGCAACTCAGGAGGCTGAGGCAGGAGGATTGCTTGAGCCAAGGAGTTTGAGGTTGCTGCGAGCTAGGCTGACACCACAG